CAAGTCGGGTCGTCGATCGACATGAATTGGATCGGCGGGAATCGGCAGCCGAGTCGGGAGAAGTCGAATCGGCGGAAATCGGCAGGCTCGTATGCCTCCATTAAAGACTCGGACTCGAAATCGGAATCCAAAGCCGAATCGCATCGGAATCGGAAACCACCGAAATCGAATCGAATAGAATCGGAGGAATCAAAAAGAGCCCTGCCCTCCCCCCTCCCACCCCTAGTCCTCGGCGCAGCCGTCGTAGCAGTAGTCCTCGGCGACAGCCGTTCCGCCGTCGTCTCGGGGCGTCGGGGACAACCAGACAGTTTAGAGGTGGGTCGAAGGCCACTCAATGGTGCGCTGGCGCTGTGCCAGAGTCCGCGGAGAACCAGCCGTGCACGAGGGCCTCTCTGGCACGAGCGGCGTACCGGTAATACCGGTACCGGTACCGATTCCCCATACCTCCCTCCTCCTCCTGGTACCGGTACCGGTACCCCTCCTCCCCTCCTCCTCCTCCTCCTCCTCCTCCGACCTCCTCCGTCCTCCTTCTCCTCCCCCTACTCGCCCCTCCTCCTCCTCCTCCTGCTCCTCTTCCTCCTCCGCCTCCTCCTCCTCCTCCTCCTCCTCCTCTGGAACATCTTCGTCGCCGCCGTGGCCGCCGCCGCCGCGGCCGTCGTGCTGGCCGTCGCCGCCGCGGGCCACCCGCGCCGTCCCACAGGTCGCCCCAGGCGCCCTGGGCGGCGCGGAGCATCCGCACCTCCTCGCCGGACGAGTTGAGCACGCGCCGGCCCGTCGAGTCGGTGCCCCTCAAAGGGGGGGACGACGCCCAGACAGCCTCCTCCCTCCCTCCCCCTTCCCTCCTCCCTCAAAGCCCCTCCCCGCTCGAGCCTCTCCTTTTCCGTCTCTCCCTCCTCTCTCCCTCCCTCCCTCCGTCCGTCTCTCCCTCCTCCTCCTTCCCTCCCTTCCTCCCTTCCTCCCTCCTCCTCCTGCTCTCCTCCTCCTCCTCCTCCTCCTCCTCCTCCTCCTCCTCCATCCTGCCCCCTCGGCGGCCGCGGCGTCGACGAAGGCGGCGATCGGCGACTTCGACGATGTCGACGCCCGTTGGCGGAGCGACAGTGGTGTTGGAGACGGCGGCTTTGGTTGGTGGGCTTTCGAGCGGTCTGCGTGAGGTTTCTGGACCCCTCGCGGCGTCCTGAGGGGGCTCCGCGGTGTTCTCGGGTGCTTTTGCGTCGTTGAGGGGGGATTCGGCGACAAGGCTGATGGGAGGAGGAGGAGGACCCCTTGGCGGCGAGCCGGCGAGCCAGGGGGGAAGGCGAGAGGGGTCGGGCCTTCTCAGAAGGCTCAGAAGTCCTGAGGCCTTCTTAAAGGAGCCGAACGCTATACACCGACACTCTTTCGGGCCCCGCACTGGAACGCACACAGGAAAGCGGATCCTGGTGTATACGGGATCCTGGTGTACACGTTTTTCGTTACTTCCCCGGGAAACCAGGGAAACAAGTATACACCACAGCATTCTGACGTCATCCCCGACCCTCCAAAAGTCCTGGGGTTGAAGAACAGCCTGCCACTGGTAATGTATATGCTCCAATTTCCGACTTCTGCTTGAGAAAGTTTGCAAGCCTTCCCCGAAGACACGGAACACTTCTACGAAGGCGCGAGGGCAGCTGAGGAGCCCCGCCGCCTTCTGGGAAGGCCTTCTTCTTCTCACCTCCCCCCCTCGCTCGGCGCCGACCCCCCTCTTCCACCTCCTCGCCGTGCTCCCTGTCCTCCCGACCACTGCTCCCCACCCCTGCATGTAAGCAGGAACGCGGGAGCAGGAGGAGGCGGAGGGAAGATGGGGAGGAAAAAGAGGAGGTGGATGACGACGGGGAGGGAAGAGGAGGAGAAAGAGAAGGAGGAGGAGGAGGAGGAGGAGGAGGACCTGGCGAGACAAGCTTTGTCACCACGGGTTTTTTTCGCCCGGTGGTCGGGCCCGGGGGCCCTGCCCGATCGAGCGGCGGCCCGGAAGAATGGTGCAGACAGAAGAGTGGGGTCCAGGACGAGGAGGAGGGAAGAGGCGCCCAGCGTAGAGGAGGAGGAGCAGGGAAGAGGAGCGAACTGGCCTCAGCAGAAAGCGGCAAAAAGACATTGGCCGACCGCACCCGACTTCGATATACCGGGGCAGAGCTCCCACCTCCAACCACACGCGAATGCTACACACAGCAGCGCACAGCAACAGACAACGGGAGGCACACGGTGTGTGGCACTCAGAACTACGCAAACCAAAGTTACGCCTGACGGGACAGCATTACACACCATGCGGCGCAGACGGGTACCACGAAATATCGAAAACACAACAAACCACTCGTAGCTATGCTGCTCAGGAATTGCAATGAAAGCTGAAGCATTACACACAGTGCAAGCGACACTGCAATGACACACTGCGCGCCCCGAGCCACCCACTGGCTCGGCACGAGCGGCATGGGGCACGAGAGTCGAGCTGGAGCAGTGACCTGCGCTCGATTCGCGCCGCCTCAGTGTTCGCAGGGCAGCCCGAGAAGGCCCAGAGCGCGGAGATGCAACGGTGAACTTCCTTCGCGGTGGGCCGCTCGAGGGAGAGGACATCGAGCACGTGCTGGGCGCCATCCGCGGCGCCACGGACCAGAAGGGAGAGGCCGGCGCTCCCGCGCGTGGGCCCGCACCGCTGCCAGCACGTGCTCGTAGGAAACTGCAGCACCCGTGGCCACCCCGGCGCAAGGCAGGAGCGCATCGGCACGAGCCGCATCGCCGGGACGCTGCACGTCGTGATGGCGAACGGCGTGGACAGGGCCCACGGCACAGGGAAGAACCCCCCCCCCGTGTCGGAAGATCCGCAGGCTGGCTGGCAGGCTGAGTTCCAGCATCACAAAGAACACCCCCTCCAGAAGGAAAATCCCCAGCACCACGAAGAGCGCCCCCTCCATCGTGTCGATCTGCAAGAGAATCGGCGGGAAAACCACCAGCTGCACTAGGACCACCGCCTCCGCAAGGACGGCCGATATCCCCCCTCCGTCTCGAAGTTCACCAGGATGATGGTCTGCGACTCGTTGTCGGAGTGCCACTGCTCCTGAGAGTAAATATTGAAGAAACTGACCTCGTACTCACTGAGGTCATCGCTGTCAAGGTGGAAGGTACTGCACACGGTGTCATTCTCCACGACGCACCCCGCCTCCGAACCAGTAGTAGAAGAACATGGCAATGACGATTCCAAACTGCTCTTCGGATAAGCCGTCGATGTAGTGGGCCTCGGCAAGTGCTTGGTAACCTCATCCATGACGTCCTGGAAGAATGCATCCCCCTTGACTGTAGTGATGTGCCGAGCGACGTTGTAGGCGTGGTCGAGGTGGGCGAGAGGGGCGTGGCGGAACGCCAAGGAGACGACGGAGATCACGTCGCGCTTGCTCCAGGCCCTCGAAATGCATACCGGTTTGGCTGGCCAGCTCGCGCAGCAACCGCCCGTGAACATCGCAATGATAGCTTGGGCGGAGGGTGCCATCGCGGTGAAGGAACACTGAGAAGAATCCTAAGTGCTGCGCCCTTGAGCCAAAATGGCTACGGCAGAGGAGGAGGGAGGAGGAAGCGGAGGGAGGGACGAAGGATGACGAGGAAAGAGGGAGGGAGGGACGGATGAGGGAGACGGAGGATGACAGGAGGAGGAGGAGGAGGAGGAGGAGGAGGAGGAGCAGGAGAGGAGGAGGAGGAGGAGGAGGCGTAGGAGGAGGAGCAGGAGCATACGCTTGGGGGGCAGAAAAGAGGAAGACAGGGACGAGGACGCCGAGGAAAGAGACCGAACGAGAGAGAGGGATAGAGTGAGAGAGACAGAGATGTGAGGGACGGGAGCAGCAGCACAGCACAGGAGGAGGCACCGGAAGGTGCCCCTCCCCGGCGGGCCCGTACGGCGCGCCCCCCGTCGTCATGTACATCTCGGGGTGCCAGCAGCAGCCGTCCAGGTCGAAGACGACGAGCTTCGGCCGGGGCCCCTCGACCTCGACGACGACGAGGAGGAGAAGGAGGCGAAGGAGGAGGAGGCGAAGGACGACGAGGCCGAGGAGCAAGCGCCCGCAAGCGTCCGCAGAGCCCACAGCGCCCACAGCGACCACGAACTTCGGCCGGGGTCGCTCCCAAGGGCCCCTCGACGACGACGACGACGACGACGACGACGACGACGACGACGACGACGACGGCGGCGACGGCGGCGGGGGCGGCCGCGGCAGCGAAGACGATGACGATGGCGGCAGCGGCGGGGTCTCCCAGGGCCCCTCATCTGGTCGTCGTCGTCGTCGTCGCCGTTGCCCAGGCCCATCCTGGGGGGCGTTCTGGCCATCAAGGAACAAGAAATAGCCCAAACCATGCTTCCGGGGGTCCGCGCTAACTTCTTGGATCGGCGCTGGACCCCCTCCCTGGCGCGCGGAGCGAGCACGGGGCGGCGCTGGAGGCTCGGCCGAGGGGCTCCAGCGCCAGCACAGGAGATCCGCGCGCGGGTCTCCGAAAGTCCAGGTTCGTGCCAGTGTCTGCTCCTCGACGCCCGAGGCGCGATTTCCCGCCGCGCCGACGTGAACCTTCACGGGGAGGCGCGGGAAAGACGATGAGCGGCTGCTTCTCCCTGCCCTCGTCCTCGTCCTCGTCCTCGTCCTCGTCCTCGTCCTCGTCGACGCCGTCGTCGTCGTCGTCATCCAAACTGCCGCCGCCGCCGGCTGGGCGGCCCGGGGAAGGCGCGGAGCGGCTGCTCCTCACCCATCATCGGCGTCGACGCTCGTCCGAGCGACCGGGCGGCCTCGTGGGTCTCGCGGGCCCTTCCTTGGCGGCGGCGGCGGCAGTCTGGATGACGACGACGATGACGACAACGACGACGGCGACGAAGACGGCGACGACGACGACGACGGCGACGAGGACGACGACGACAACGACGCCGACGACGACGGCGGCGACGACGGCAACAACGACGACGGCGGCGGCGGCGGCGGCGACGGGCGGCGACGGGCGCACACGGGCGGCGGCTGCGGCGCCCAGGCCTCGGGAGTCACCCAGGGCTGGTCCTCGCCGTCCTCCTCGGGCACCCTGTCGGCGACGTCCTCGCTTCCGCGGTCAGCATCGGCGCCGTCTGTGCCGCCCTGGCCACCGCCATGGCCGTCGCCGCCGCCCTCCGCTGCCCTCGGCGTCGTCGCCGACGTCGTCGTCGTCGTCGTCGTTGTCGTCGCCGCCGCCGCCGTCGTCGCTGCCGTCGCTGCCTTGGCCGCTGTCGCCTTGGCCGTCGTCGGTGCCACCGCCGCCGTGGCCGCACCCATCGGCGTCGCCATCGTCGTGGCCGTGGCCTTGGGCCGCCGTCGTCACCGCCGTCGCCGCGGGAACCCTTTGGCGCCAGGCCGCTCGTGAAGGGACGCTGCAAGGCAGACGTCGCCCTCGGGCGGAACGCAGGAGGCCCCTGCCGTCTGACCACGGTGAGGTTACGCTGCAGGTTGCGCGCGCTCCATGGCAGCACGCCTTACTTACCAGGGCAGCGCAAACGCAGGCTGCGAGTCACGCGCAGCGTGTCTGGCCGGCTTCGGGAGTTGGCCGAACCTGAGCTGACACTCTCTTTGGCCTCGGGCACTCCTCGGGCGCGCCGGAGAAGAGGCGGGCCCCTCGCCAGAAGGCCACCCTGCCTCCACGAGGCGCCTCCCCAGACATCCGGTCCCTCGATACTTTCGAGACGCGTGCCCCCGACCTCTCGATAAGACGAAGCCAAGACGAGGACAACATCGGGTGAGGAAACATCGAGAATCTCGAAGATCCGGCGGCTCTAGATGATGTCTCGGGTGCCACGGCCTTAACGCTCGAAGAGCGTCCCTGAGCGCTCTGAAACCGATTTAGCCTCGTCCTAGCCCCGCCCGGTCGATATTTTCGAGACACGGGCCCCCGACCTCTCGACCACATCCCCGGGACTGATTTTTCACCTCGAGTCGTCTCTGGACGGTGGCGAAGCCCAGTGAGGTCATGAGCGGCCTAGCCGACCCTCAGGAAACTATCCCCCTCCATGACCTCCCCCTCGCCTCGCACAAGACGCATGTATGGTGTGTATACGGCTGGAGGGGAGCTTGAAACGCTAGGATGACGTCGCGGACGGGGATGGTTTGCCAGGGGTCGGTTAGGCCGCGGACGATGCGGGCCCCGAGAGACAAGACACGAAGGCGAACCTCCGTCTCGATCTTTTCGGGACGCCGGACGCCTGGGTCCGCCACCTCGCTCGAGGCCCCACCGGGGGGGCCCTGCGAGCAGGTGGGCGGGTCCCTCCCCCGGCAGGCCTCCCCTCGCTCGCCCTGCCCCCCTGCTTCGCGCCGATGGAATCGAGCACGGCCGTTGCCGAGCGCTTTCGAGGCTCTCGTCGCCGCTCGTCGTCGTCGTCGTCGTCGTCGCGGTCGTCGTCGTCGTCGCCGCTCGTCGCGGTCGTCGTCGTCGCCGCTCGTCGTCGTCGTCGTCCTCCTCCTCCTCCTCCTCCTCCTCCTCCTCCTCCTCCTCCTCCTCGTCGTCGTCTTGGTCGTCGCCGCCGTCGTCGGCCTGCGCGCCGCCCAGGGAGGCTGTCGGACCCCGCCGTCCTCGGGAAGCATGTCCCTCCACACCTGCGGAGGAGGGAGGACCGGCCGGGCCAGAGAGGGCCCGGGGGCCTGGGCGGGCGGCCGATCCCCCTTTTCCTCCCAGTTCTACCCCTCATCCTCCTTCTCTCCTTCTTCCCCTCCTCATCCTCTTCGTTTTCCTAGATTTTCTCCTCGTCCTCGTTCTCCTCTTCCTCTTCGTTCTCCTCTTCCTCCTCCTCCTCCTCCTCCTCCTCCTCCTCCTCCTCGTCCTCCTCCTCCTTTCCCTCCTCCTCCTCCTCCTCGTCAGGTCCTGGCCAGGCCATCTTCCGAGGAGAAACGCCCCAAGCTGGACTCAAGTCGGGCCCGTCCCCCTACAGGACGGATTTGGGTGAAAAAAATAGCAGAAAAATGCCCTGAACGATGCAACAAAAAGTCAAACAAATCGTCCCCAGACCACTTGTTGTGATCATTCTTGAATCGTATCCCCCCTGTAGAGGGACGCACCCGACTTCAACACTGGGCCTGGGGGACACCCGCTCGTCCCCCAGACTCCCGACGCTGCGACTCTTTCGCAGCATGGGCCCCCCGGAGCCACTCCTCAAGACAAGCTCTTCATCCCGAGCCGTTTCTGGACGGGCCTGGGTCTGGGCGCGGGCACCCGGAGGCCGAACATTGCTGGAAACCTGCCGTCGTGTTTTTGTTGATAGTATTGCTGTTGTTGTTGCTGCTGTTGCTGTTGCTCTTGTTGCTGTTAATGCTGGTATTGTTGTTGTTGCTGCTGTTGCTGTTGTTGTTGCTGATGTTGTTCTTGTTGTTGTTGTTGCTGCTGCTGTTGTTGTTGTTGTTGTTGTTGTTGTTGTTGTTGTTGTTGTTGTTGTTGTTCCTGGGGTTGTTGTGTACGACCCGAGGGGGTCTGGGCTGCTTGGTCTGGTCAACGCTTCCTGCCCTTTGGACGCCCGAAACGGGTACGGAAAGAATGGGTACAATGCCCAGCGACAAATCCTGCCCCAAACCAACAGCGGCCGCTGCTGGGCAGACGGCCTTCTGTGTCAAATGGACACAGGCCGCGGCGGCGCGGACAGCCAGTCCTGTTCAAAATGAACAGGCACTGCTCTTGTGCATTGTGCTGGGCCTGTTTTCCACCACCACCGCCACAAGTTGCAGGGGGGAAGGAGGCGGACCCCCTCCCACTCCAACTTATGGTGGTGGTGGTGGTGGAAAACAGGCCCATCACAGTGCGCTCATTCTTTCCGTACCCATTTCGTTCGTGCCGATGCTCCCGGAGCACCCATGCGTTCCACACGCCGGGCCGGCCCGAGCACACCATCGGCCGCCGCAGCCACGAGGCCGAGAGCACCGGCGTCGCGAAGCGGCCGATGTTCTCCCTGCGGGCGACCACGGCGTCCCGCACCTCCTCCAAGGCGAGGGGGACGAGAAAAGACAGAAACATAACAGCTCGAAGGTCCGCGCGGACTTCTCGGATCCACGCTGGGACCCACTCGGCGGCGTCTCCGGCGCCGCGCCTGGCGCGCTCCCCGCGCCAGGGAGGGGGGTCCAGCGCCGGTCCGAGAAGTCCGCGCAGACCTCCGAGTTTTGGTGTTGGTGAGGCTCGCAGAAGGCTGGAGGAGGAACCGTCTCGAGATTCGTGGCCCGAGGCTTTCGGACTTTCTCGTCGCTTTTCTCGGCGACTTTCCAGCCTCGGGGTGCCCTCCAGCGGCTGTGCCTCGTAGAGAACGTTCCAGGGTTTCCCGAATCATCCCGAACGGCCGCTGGAGGCCCAAGATGTGCCCGAGATATCACCTGAGAACTACCTGGGGACTGGCTCAGGGCGGGAAAACACCGACCTGGAACCGGTGATGCATCGCCGATGGATCGACAATTTACGAATCTACGCCCCCGATGGCGAATTCGCGCGCTCCTGGGCGATGCATGGGCGACTGAACCCGATGAGTCCCCTCTGAGCCTATGCCTCGGGTGTTGCGACAGGCACCCCTGGTCGAAGGTGCCCCCAGCTTTTCGTTCAACATTGGGGCCCCTGGAGCCCTCTGGGCCTCGTGAGGAGTGCTCTGCAGGCCGTGGGGGTCTCCCTGGAAATCCTGGGGGCACCCTGGGCCCATGGGGCACTTCTGGCAGCACCCGAATACCCCCCTGCTGCTGCCCCTGAGTAATCCTCCTCCTCCTCCTCCTCCTCCTCCTCCTCCTCCTCCTCCTCCTCCTCCTCCTCCTCCTCCTCCTCCTCCTCCTCCTCCTGCGGTGTGGGGCAAGAGGGGGGGCGGCCTGCTCCGGAGACAGCTGGAGGCTCCCTTGGGAGGCCCAGGGGCTCCTCCTGGGGCGTCCCTCGGAGGGCTCGGGGGGCTCACGCCCTGGGCTCACGCTCGGAGAACTCAGGGGCTCCAGGCGGGGAGGGGCTCGGGGCGGGAGGGCTCCCTCGGAGGGCTCCGGGGCCCACGGGGAAGGCTCAGGCGCTCACGGCGGGAAGGGGCCTGGGCAGCCCTCCGCCTTCTCGGGAGGCGGCCCTCCCCGCGCTCCGGCCCCCTTGGCGCGCCGCCCAGTCCTCGCTGCTCATCTCCGCCTCCAGGGGGCGAGACAGCACTGCAAAAACGTGACTTGCTTGATGTCCGGGCGGATTGTTGGGGTTCAGCGCTGGGCCCCTGCCTTGTCAGTCCCGGCGTCGCCCCCGGGACGGCAGTGTGGGGGGGGTCTAGCGTGACTCCAGCAAGAATCAGCGGAACTCTTTCCGAGTTTTGTGCTTGCTTCTCTGGCCTCCGTCAGCGCACGCGTCTCCCCGAGCTCCATGACGCCGCAGATGCACCCCTTCCGGAACGGCAGCCGCGGACGCGTCAGCTTGCCCCACTGCATCTCGGGGATGCCCTGGCGGAGGAGCTCGTGTTCCCACTCCTGCCCGCCGCGCGCAAGGTTGACCCTGGGCGAGGACGGCCTGTGGCGCGCGGCTTGCTGATCGTCGCGTGCGATGCAGCCCCCATCGGCCTGCGTTACTGCGCGGGCTTGGCCTCCCCGCCACGCTCGAACGCCGCGCGTCAAAATCAATCCCGAAAAGGGCCACTTAGCTGGGCGACGAAAACAAGAACAAGGGGTCTTACTCACCAGATTGCGTTAGGTCGGGCATGTCCTCCTACAGACGGAGTTTGGACGAAACATAAGCCATACCACTGAAATATTCAAACATGGCCCCAAGGTAATCAAGCATCGTCTTCATTCGGGGATGGACAGACCTCCCTTTAGTAAAACGTGGTTTAGTGAAAACGACCTCGGGCCCAAACCTGGCGGGCGCAAGCCTGGAAAATGACGGCCGCGGCGCTCTCTCGAGAACCGAAAACGGACAATTCACGAATCGACGTGTCAGGGTAGGAGGTCTGTCCATCCCCGACCCACACTTAGTTGTTTTGACTACTTGGGCACACTCCTCCTGTGGAGGGGCACGCCCGACTTAAGACTATAGCCTAGCGACCTTGCGCGGTGGGTCACGCGGGACGCCCGCACGGCACGCTGCATTGAAAGCGAGGGCGCCTGCGCGCGACCCATCGTGGGAAACCTACGCGCGAAGATCGGCGCCGTCGACCCCGTTCTCTTCCGTCGCCCACGCGTCGGCGGCGAGCCCCGGGGGAAAGTGAGAGGGGGCGGGCCTTCGCAGAAGGCTCGGAACGCTCCCGGCCTTCTGAGAAGTGTTCCAAACCCTCCCTTAAGAGAAACCTTCTCAGAAGGCGCGGGGGCTTCTGAGAAGTCCCGCCGCCTTTTCAGAAGGCCTTCTCCTTCTCACTTCCCCCCCTCGCTCGCCGCCGAACCCCCTCTTCACCTCCTCCGCGTATTCCTTGTCTTCCCGAGCCCCCCTCCTGCAATTAAGCAGGAGGGCGGAAGCAGAAGGAGGCGGAGGAAAGACGAGGAGGCAAGAGGAGGTGGAGGACGAAGGGAAGGGAAGAGGAGGAGGAGGCGGAGGAGGAAGACAAGGAGGAACGTGTCGCCCAGAGGCGCTCGTCAGCCCACTCCTGCCCGGGCCACGTCTTCCGCCCGATGTGCAGCAACACTGGGCCCGCGCCCGCCGCCGCCAGCACCGCGCTCTTCCTCGGACGGCGGGAACACATCACAGGGGCCCGGGAACTCTTGTCTCCTCCTCCTCCTCTTCGTCCTCCTCCTCCTTCTCCTCCTGCTCCCCCTCCTCCCCCTCCTCCTCCTCCTCCTCCTCCTCCTCCTCCTTCCTCCTCCTTCGCCTTCCGCCTCTCCTCCCCTCCTCCTCCTTCCCTCCTTCTCCTCCTCCTCCTCCTCCTCCCTCCTCTTTCCTCCTGGCCTCCTCCTCCACCTCCTGCTCCTCCTCCTCCTCCTTCTCTCCTGCTCCCTCCTCCCTCCTCCTCCTCCTCTCCTTCTACTCGTCCCCCTCCTACTTATTCCTCCTCCTCCTCCTCCTCCTCCGCCACCTCCTCCTCCTCCTCCTCCTCCTCCACTTCCCCTCCTCCTTCTCTTCTCGCTCCACCTCCCCCTCCTCCTCTTCCCCTCCTCCTCCTCCTCCTCCTCTTCCTCCTCCTCCTCCTCCTCCTCCTCCGACTCCACTCCTTCCTCCGTCCCTCCTCGTCCCCTCTACTCTCTGCCTCCTCCTCCTCCTCCTCCTCCTCCTCCTCCTCCTCCTCCTCCTCCTCCTCCTCTATCCTTCCTCCCTCCTCCTCCTCATCATCAATCATCCTCCTCCTCATTCACTCCTTCTCCTCCTCCTCCTCCTCCTCCTCTCCTCCTCCTCCTCCTGCTCCTCCTTCCTCCTCCTCCTCCTCCTTCCTTCTCCTCCTCCCCGCTCCCCCTCCCCATTGTTTTCTCCCCTCCTCCTGCTCCCCTTCTCCTCCTCCCCGCTCCTCCTTCTCCTCCTCTTCCTTCTCCTCCTCTTCCTCCTCCTCCTCCTCCTCCATCTCTTCCTCCTCCTCCTCTTCCTCCTCCTCATCCTCCTCCTCCTCCCTGATACATTCCTCCTCCTTCGTCCTCGTTCTCCTCCATCCCTCCTCCGTAGTGTGCCGCGGTGGCGGCCCCAGCGACACCCCATGCCTTGTGAGCGGATTTCGGGGGCGGCCAAGAAGGAGGGGTGTCCAATGGGGGGGGGTGGGGGGCGCAAAGCATGGCCGGCGGCACGTGCGCGGCCCCAGGGGGGGGGGCCAGGGACGCATTGAAATAAGAAGCGGCGCCATAGAATATGGGGAGATCTTATGGCCCGCGCCATGCTATCAAGCCCCCCCTTCGGCCCTAGTCCCAAGTTACCCCCCCCCACTGTGCCGCCCCCGAGGATAGCGTGCCGCTCCGCTCCGCGGGGCGGGGGGCTCGGAAAATGTCAGGGCGCTGACGCCCGGGTGACAGGACGTGGACATCGGGTGGCGCCGAATCGTGGTTGGGGATACCGAAACCGCTACTCCCCGGACCTCTCCCGGGATGCGTTCTGACCAGGGTCTCGAGGCGAATCCAGCGGTGGCGAGGCCCAAGAGTAGGGGAGAACGAGGGGAGGGTCGAGGTGTGGGTGCCTCTTCCTCCTCCGAGCGGTGGGCTATCCAAAAGGTTCCCGACCTCCTCCGCGCCCACGGCCTCGCGGTCCAGCCCCCGTCGCCTGCGGCACCGCGCCGTCGCGCGGCGGCGCTGCGCGGGCGCTCCGGGCGAGAGCCCTCCCGGCACTCGCGCCGCGGTGCCCAGAGCGCAAGGGCGTGGAGCTGGCCCACTCTGCGAGCCCTGGGTCCAAGCCTTAATGGGTCCTGGAAACGACAGGGCCGTTTTTTTACCGGTTCCGTTCTGCCGTTTTTGTTGCCAGTTCCGACGCCGTTTTTTTGACGGTTCCGTCGCCGTTTTTTGACCGGTTCCGGCTCCTGTTTCAATCCTGGAGCCGTTTTTTTGCCGTTTCCGGTCGCCGTTTTTTTGCCGTTTCCATTTTCAAGGGACTTTTTTGGGGAAACGGTAAAAAACGGCCCTGCCGTTTCCAGGGCCCACAAAGGTCCAGACACGGTGGCGTCTGGCGTTTTTTACGCCAGCCGCCTTCGGCCGTCGGGCAGGCCGCCACGTCGCTTTCGCCGCCCTTCCGACGAAGGCGGACGTGCCGAAATCGAGGCCCTTTTGAGAGCGCGCCTCGTGGATATGTTCGTCGCGCCCCACGGTAAGACCACACAGCCAGCTATGATCCGTGCGCTGCGTGAGGTGCCAGGCCTGTAGGGGCTGACAGAGCTTCCTGCGCTGACTCGCAGCACGCTGCGCGAGTGGTTGCACGTGTGTGGAGGATGCGCGGTGCAATGCGTGGTGTAAGCTATGTGTGGCGGACTCGGGAAACCCTGAACCCAAACAAGTTTTCATCGAGGGCCTGGGGTAACCGATTGCGTGTGTTTCCGACACTTGTGGCCCTCTGGGCACGCCTCTAATGGCCACGGCCAGGTGCATCTCGGAAGTATTATCAGGACGCGTTCCAACACCACATGGCCGATTTCGGAAACCCTGAGCCCACAAACCGACGCACCACGTCGTCAGAGCCGCAGACCGCAGCGTGGCGGGGTCTGTTGCAGCACACCATCGCCGGCCACCGAGGCTTAGGTCGGACGTGTTCCCCTACAGGCGGCTTTTGGACGAAAACCAAGAATACTCAAACATATTTCAACAAGTATTCATAACTATGTTAAAACCAAAATCGTCCCCTGACTATGTTCTGGCTATTCTTGAAAATTCCTCCTGTAGAGGGACGCGCCCGACTGACACCTGGACTGCCGCGCCCAGGTGCGGCGCTACTCCCCTCCTCTCGCCCAAGCGAAGTCCTCGCCCTCTTCGGCCCTCTGCTTGCCCCTCCTCCTCGCCCTGCTCTCTGCCTCCCCCTCCCCAGCCGTCCGACGTCGCGACTTTTGTCGGGGGCGCGCGAGCACGGATTAGCGTTGTGGTCGCCATGACGCCATGACAATGGACGCTCTAATCATTCGACCATTGAACAAAAGTCATTAAGATGTCTTCTACATGGTTTCACCATGCTCGGCACACAAGTAAAACATGGCTTAGCACCTAAGAACATACTTTGTACCCCAACATCTGAAAACTATTTGGCAATATGCCTTCTCTCCATTGATCGTCTTCCACCGGATTAGCGATCCATGGATTTGGCGAACGGTCGCCAAATCCATGAATCGTGGGAGGTGCCCTCCCCCAAATGCAGTCAGTGCCGCCTCGCTCGGCGGCGGGAATCCGCGATTTCCCATGGAAGTAGGACCCGTCGCTAATCCACGCCCCCTTGATGCATGCTTGCGATCGCCTGATTCTGTTCACGACGGGAATGCCCAAAGGTCTGGACCCCTCCTCAAGCACGGACTTCTGATCCTGGATCGTTTTCTGGCGGTCCCAGACCCGGCGATGTCTCCTGGAAAGCGAAAGTGGACGAACACATCCCGTCGTGATCTTTTGACGACGCGAGGATGTCAGGGTTCGCCGCCCGCGAGAGGACCACAGCTATGCCGATGCCGCTGCTCCCCACCTCTCTTCTCCGGCGGGCTCGGACTGCAGGACCTCGAGGCGCAGATCCCGCCGTGGCGACGAGGGGAGTGTAGCGGTGCCAGCAAATATTTTCCTCTCCTGATCTTATGTTGCTACCCTCCGCCGAGGAGGAAGAGGAGGAGGAGGAGGAGGAGGAGGAGGAGGAGGAGAAGGAGGAGGAGGAGGAGGAGGAGGAGAAGGAGGGACGTAGGGTCACAGGAGCAGGAGGAGGAGAAGGAGGAGGAGGAGGAGGAGGAGGAGGAGGAGCCCGCGATCTTCCTCGTCTCCACGGTCTTCACGCCGTTCAGCAGCAGGGAGGCGAAGGGGTCGCTCATCGAGAACACGGGCAGCCGCACCAGACGGCCGCCAGCGGGCGGCTCCGCCCCCCTCGGTTCCTGCTCGCCCTCCAGAGTGGCCACTCCTCTGGTCAGGGAACGAGGAGGATGAGAGGAGGAGAGAAGGAGGAGGAGGAGGAGGGGGAGGAGGAGGAGGAGGAGAGGAGGAGGAGGTGAAGATGAGGGGGAGGAGTGGGAGGAGGAGAGGAGGAGGACGGAGGGAGGGGAGGAGGAGGGGGAGGAGGGAGGAGGAGGAGGAGGAGGGGAGAGGAGGGGGAGGAGTAGGAAGGGAGGAGGAGGAGGAGACGTTTCCTCTGAGCCTTCGCCGAAGGCTCCAGGAACGTCTCATGAAGCCGAGGGCTTCCTCTCCTCCTCCTCCTCCTCCTCCTCCTCCTCCTCCTCCTCCTCCTCCCCCTCCCCCTGCTCGTCCTCCTCCTCCTCCTCCTCCTCCTCGTCCTCCTCCTTCTTCGGGGGCGCGCAAACATGGATTAGCCATCCATGGATTTGGCGCGCGGTCGCCAAACCCGTGGATTGGAAAAGGGGCCCTCCCCCAAAATGCGTCTCGGAAAGCCGGAGGCCTCCTGAGCCTTCTGAGGAGGCCCGCCCCCTCGGCCTTCCCCCCTGGGCGCGCTGCCGAAGGACATCCGGGTGAGGGGCACCCCTGGACTGGTCCAGGAAACACGCCTGACACCCAGGACTCAGCCTCCCCCCCCGCGCCGTGGCACAAACGCCATGGGCGGCTCGTGACAGTCCTTTTCGGCTTCTGGGGCCTCCCATCGGGCCCCGGGGCCGTCAACAACGACTCACGATGAAGAGCTGGCCCCAGCCCAGACCCCCGACGTCATGATGCTTTCATCACGTCGACTTCCAGAGGCCTCGACCCTGAGTCCCCAGGGCCGTGCTTTTTTGTTCATCCTGAGTCGTGTTCTGACGGCCACGAAGCCCGGGCAGGGGCCTCCAGAGTCTGAACACCAGGACGAGCCCTCGCAGTCGTGATGCTGTCGTTACTCGAGGGGGTCTGGGACCGTCGTGCGTGTAGGGCCCCAGGAGCCTGAACCTGAGGAGGAACCCGCTCCGACGTGATGCTCTCGTGACTCGAGTGGGTCTGGGGGGGGGCAGTAGTCTTAGGTCGGGCACGTCCCCCTACAAGGGATTGGGACGAGAAGGTCGAAAACAGTCGAACAAAATTAAACATATGCAGAAATACTACAAACATTGCCCCCCGACTATGTTTCACTATTTTCGAATGTCCCCCCTGTAGAATGACAGGCCCGACTTCACCGCAGTCCAGGCCGCGAGGCGCAGAGCACGATGCTCTTAGCGCCCCCCGCGCGCGACCGAGGACAGCCTCCCCACGGGCACAGGCCCTCGACGTCGGCGGCTTTTGGAGCGGCGAGCGCGGGAACCCTTTCTCCTCCTCCTCCTCCTCCTCCTCCTCCTCCTCCTCCTCCTCCTCCGCCTCCTCCTCCCTCCTCTGGACAAGCGCGTTCCACTACTCGCAAATGGACTACTCGCAAATGGCCCAGATCCGCCGCGGAGGATTTACGTACATTACATCAGGAGGAGCACCTAGTTTGCTCGGACGTGCGAGTAGGCACTTTGCGAGTAGTGGAACGCGGTCGGCGATCCTCCTCGTTCCTCGTTCCTCGCTCCTCGATCCTCGATCCTCCTCCTCCTCCTCCTCTAAACTCCTGGCTAGAAATGAAGAGAGACTAATAACCACTTAGCACCTTATTCCTGAAGACTCCTGTGGAAGTAAAAAAAAAAAAACTCCTAAAACCTACTATTACTACTACTACTACTACTACTATACTCTACTCTACTACTACTACTACTACTACTACAACTACTACTACTAAATACTACTAAGAACACGTACTTACTATAACTACTACTACTACTACTACTACTACTACTACTAACGATTACTACCTACTACTACTACTACTACTACTACTACGATGCTACTACTACTACTACTGCCTACTACTACTACTACTACTACTACTACGACCACTACTAACTACTACCTACTACTACTTACTACTACTACTACTACTACACTACTACTACTACGACTACTACTCGACACTCACGACTACGACGACTCTACGACTACTATATACTACTACTACTACTACTACTATACTACTAGCTACTACTTTCTACTACTACTACTGATGCTACTACTACTACACTCGCAACTACTTGACTAACTATCTACTACTACTACTACTACTACTACCTAAACTACTACCACCACTGCCACCATACCACCCCACCACCACCACCCACACCACACCACTACTACTACTACTACTACTACTATACTACTATTACTAACTACTACTACTACTACTACTACTACTACTACTACTACTACTACTACTAGACTACTACTACGACTACGACTACTACTACGACTACGACTACGACTACTACTCCTACTACTACTACTACTACTACTACTACTACGACTACTACTAACTACTACTACTACTACGAACTACTACTACTACTACTACTACTAATGCTAACTACTGCTACTACTACTACTACTACTACTACTACTACTACTACTACTACTACTACTACTACTACTACTACTACGACTACTACTACTACTAATACTACTACTACTACTACGACTACTACTACTACTACTACTACTTTTACTCGATCCTCCTCTTCCTCGATAATCCCCACCCCCCCTCGATCCCCCTCCTCCCGAACACACGTTCGACGTCGGAGCGTTCGGGGCCTCCCCGAGGCCCCGAATCTGGCCGAGACTGGCGCCCGTACCCCCAAAAAACGACGTGTCTCCTGCATGGTGGAAGCCGGCGGGGCGCCCCCGAAACACAATCCAACGCACCCAAGGTACCTATCGGGGTGCGTCCCGGCCAGAACATTGAAGCGAATCCGGCCGTGGCCACACGAGGGCGCCGGCGGAGCCACAGAGACGGCCGAAAGGCGGCCCGAGGCACAATCCGACGCACCCCAGGTTGCTTCCTGGGGTGCGTCCCGGCCAACAAAAATTGAAGCGAATCCGGCCGTGGCCACGAGGGCGCTGGAGGAGCCACGGAGACGGCCGAAAGGCACCCCCAGCACAGACCGATGTCCCGCCCCCTGCCTCCACGGGCCACTGCTGGTCGCTGGGCTCCTGCGCGCCCCTGCCCGGGCGGCCTGTCTGCAGGAAGAAAGCATCAACACGCCTCCGCCACTGCAGCCCCATCGGGGTCATTCGGGGGCAGCCAGGAGGGGGGGGCGGGGGGGGGGGGGGGGCGCAAATCATGGCCGTCGGCACGTGCGCGGCCGTCGGCACGTCGATGTACTGAAATAAGAAGAGGCGCCGTGACATCTGGGGGGATGTCATGGCCCCCGCCATGAGATGCACCCCCCACTAGTCCTCACCCCCCTCTTTGCCACCCCCGAGCCATCCAGGGCCATGGATGGGGTCATCCCGGCCGGGGTCCTCCGGGTCATCCAGGGCCCCAGGATGTGCAGACCCCCTTGGCCTCGGACAGGAGGGCGGACAGAGTCCTCGTGCTACCATGAGGAGCGCATCGGACGGAATAGCAGGGGCTGTACTGGTCCCTGCGGGCCCATCGGCCACAAAGCAAAGCTCCACGACAGAACTGTGAGGAGCTGCCCGGAAACCGAAGCCCTCTCGCGAGCCCAAAGCGGGCCTTCTGCTTCGGCGTATTGACTGTATAATTACACTCTGTCTGGGTCATCGCGGCAGGTCTGCGCCGTGACGGCTCGGGCGTTGGCTTCTGACACCGCGTGGAGCGTTCGGCCTTGCGCGATAGGGGCTCCCCCTAAACGCAGCTCGTTCAATGTTGGACATCTGACCGGCGGTGGCGTTCCACTCTGGACGCCAGCGGTGCGGTCGACGCCGAATCGACAGGACAGGAGCCTACCGTACAGACCCACACATGCGATCTTATGATTTTTCCCTACGGAGTCCCCAGGAGTCCCTACCCCTCCCCCAGGACGGGTGCTCCATCACGGACCGTCTCTCGACGGTCCCGGGGCCGGGCGAGAGCCCCCCAGGGGCCGAAAACGGCCAATCACCTCCCGTCGCGCATTTTTTTCAAAACGCCAGCATGTCTGGGCATTCGAGTAGGCGATCGAGGACAGAATTGATGTGCTCCAAGTCTTCAACCTCCCACTCTGCCAAAAATACTTTGTTTGTTCGTCGATCTACGAAGCGCTCTACGTAATTATTGTTGCTGGATTCTACGGCATCTTCGATGTGGGGGACAATGAACCCTGTAGACGATCTCCCACCCGAGGTACAGACGCCTCCCTGCGCAGCCTGGACAGCGCGCCCCTGCGAGCGCGCCCGGCGCGCGCGCCCGCGCGCCGCGCCGAGGCCGCCGCGGCCACCGCCGCCAGGGAACCGCCCGCGGCGCCGAGCCCGCCGGGGCGCCGCCCGCCGCGCCGCGCGCTGGCAGCGCGGCGGCCAGCGCTGGCGGACAGCGCGCGCTGGCGCGCGCGCACTCCGGCGGCGCCGACGGAGGCCACGCTGGCGGCGCGGCCCCTCGCGGCGGCGGCCGCGCGGCCGGCGGCGGCGGCGCCGCACCGCCGCCGGCCCGAGGCCGGCCGCCATGGCGCCGCCGCCCGCGGGCGCCGCGGGGCGCTCGCGGGCGCGGCGCTCGCGGCGCGGGCCGCGGGCCTGGGCCAAAACTTTGGGCGCCCGAGTTGTCCGGGGTAACTCGGGCGTGGGGTAAACCGGGTCTGGATTGGCTACACGCAGGAGTGATCCTGGGTAAGAATGACCTTTGGTGCGCGGCTTTTCGGGGGTCGCGGTGGGGCCCAAGCACGAGCGCGCAAACAGCCACTATCGCATCGCGCTCAGCGATCGGGGGGGGCTCGGTGAGCTCGCACCAAATGTCACTCCAGCGAAGGGTCACTCATTCCCGAAAAACGAACCCGAGTTAGCCCTGGCCCGAGTGACCCTTGATAATTTGGGGCCCTGGACGCCCGAGTTATCTGGGGTAACTCGGGCCCGGGTAACTCGGGTTCGGATTCCCGAACCACGAACCCGAGTGAGCCCTGATCTGAGTTACCCTTGATGATTCGGAG